TGTTCAAAGGTGGGCTTCCCCTAGTCTAGTAGAATCATGCATACCTGATGTTTGAGATCGGCTTGCTGAATATCAAAAGCAGGCTGCAGAATCAAAGCCAAACAACATTAATCTAGAAATTAACACTTAATTATGATCTCAATTTTTTGTTAACTAACTGGGAAAATAGAGATACTATATAAATTAATTTAGCAATAAAATTACTTGAGGGAAAACAAAGTCATGATTTGCGTCCCGTATAGATGGCACGAGAGTCACACGTGCAGCAGAACCCATGTATTCCACATAAACCATTGGGGGAAAAAAAATTTTAAAAAAAAAGAAAGATAAAATCTTCTCAAACAGGCAAAATTATCTAGTGTAGATAGATAGATACCCTTCCAAGGATTTCAAGACGAAATATTTCGTCAAAGGTCCTGTTTACTGCTCCTTTCTTAATCTCTGGATGTTCAGAATCAATAAATGGTCCCAGCTGCCAAACATAAAAAATCCAACTTCTCGAGTCATTTATCAATGCAGATTACAATTTACAAGATTATTGATATGAAAAATGGTGGGTCTTACCAATAAAAGCAACTGAGGCTGCTTTCTTTGTGCATATGCTAGCAGCTCAGTTAGAGGTTCAAAGAACAAGTTGTCAGTTGTGGTAAAAGGACCTGCTGCAATAATCTGTTTAAGATTCCAAAGACATGGACAAATGCAATATTAGTACAAAGAGCTTAAAAAGATTACCAAACTTAACCTAATATTAGACATAGCATATTCCAACTAATGGCTTTGGATTTCAAGTAATAAATACAGCTATGAGACTATCTGCCCAAATCCCAATATGGGTTGCATGCTCAAAGTGGGAAGTTAAGGTTCTTTTTTCATGATATGAAATTTCAGAAGTTAACTTCATTTATAGTACCATGTTTAGCCTCATGTGGGATGAGAATCAAAATTGTAAAGCTTACACAATTAATGCAGGAGGCAACACAACACATTCCTGATGAACGCCTAGGGGGAAACTAAAGGACAAGACCAATAGTCTTTACCTGCTTTGCAGCAAGACAGGCTTCTCCTTCAAACGGCCTTCTTCTTCACAGCAGATCATGCCAACTGCAAATACACTTTTCTGAAATAATAGGTTCCATGAGAAGCATAGATATGTTGTTTGATTAGCATACAAACTCAAATCAAAACTAAACCATATTAAAAAAATGCCATAACAATTTGGGAAGTGCTAGAAGTTGTACCTGAATTTCCATTTTTTATTTTCTTTCAAAACTACCCTCATTTAAAGGCTCTCTCCCACTTCTCACACCAAACAGTGTAAATTCTCCATTTTTTAAGATTGCAAGTGTGTGCGGATTGGAGAGATGTAGAAATGGAGCAACTATATTACCTGTGAAGCAACTATAGGGTCAATTGGTTCCTCAAACAGACCAGAAGCAACAAGTGCTGTTGCATGCTTTCTAATGCGATTTTCAAGGAAATTGAACTAGATCATCGATAAGACAAAGTTAGTACTTTGCACAATAAGTTAAAACATCTGTGCTATGAGATCCATTTAGTACCTTGTCTTCAATCTTGTCATACATGAACCTGCAACCCGGTTCAGGCTGGGAGCCATGAATAACTAAGGAGCACCTTGAGCTGGGTTGTACCCTCTTTATGATGTCATCCTCTGAAATCTCATGATCATGCTCTTTCTTTACATTTTCTGCCGGAAGTGATCATCAGAGGTTGCCGGAGGTTATCATCGATGGTTGAAGACAAGGTACTAAATGGATCTCATAGCACAGATGTTTTAACTTATTGTGCAAAGTACTAACTTTGTCTTTTTGATGATCTAGTTCAATTTCCTTAAAAATCGCATTAGAAAGCATGCAACAGCACTTGTTGCTTCTGGTCTGTTTGAGGAACCAATTGACCCTACAGTTGCTTCACAGGTAATATAGTTGCTCCATTTCTACCTCTCTCCAATCCGCACACACTTGCAATCTTAAAAAATGGAGAATTTACACTGTTTGGTGTGAGGAGTGGGAGAGAGCCTTTAAATGAGGGTAGTTTTGAAAGAAAATAAAAAATGGAAATTCAGGTACAACTTCTAGCACTTCCCAAATTGTTATGGCATTTTTTTAATATGGTTTAGTTTTGATTTGAGTTTGTATGCTAATCAAACAACATATCTATGCTTCTCATGGAACCTATTATTTCAGAAAAGTGTATTTGCAGTTGGCATGATCTGCTGTGAAGAAGAAGGCCGTTTGAAGGAGAAGCCTGTGTAAGCTTAATTGTGTTGTGTAAGCTTTACAATTTTGATTCTCATCCCACATGAGGCTAAACATGGTACTATACATGAAGTTAACTTCTGAAATTTCATATAATGAAAAAAGAACCTTAACTTCCCACTTTGAACATGCAACCCATATTGGGATTTGGGCAGATAGTCTCATAGCTGTATTTATTACTTGAAATCCAAAGCCATTAGTTGGAATATGCTATGTCTAATATTAGTTTAAGTTTGGTAATATTTTTAAGCTCTTTATACTAATATTGCATTTGTCCATGTCTTTGGAATCTTAAACAGATTATTGCAGCAGGTCCTTTTACCACAATTGACAACTTGTTCTTTGAACCTCTAACTGAGCTGCTAGCATATGCACGAAGAAAGCAGCCTCAGTTGCTTTTATTGGTAAGACCCACCATTTTTCATATCAATAATCTTGTAAATTGTAATCTGCATTGATAAATGACTCGAGAAGTTGGATTTTTTATGTTTGGCAGCTGGGACCATTTATTGATTCTGAACATCCAGAGATTAAGAAAGGAGTAGTAAACAGGACCTTTGATGAAATATTTCGTCTTGAAATCCTTGGAAGGGTATCTATCTGTTAGGTTTTTATTCTTGGCAATCCCGGTTGACAAACTCCTTTCAGTTGAATTTGCTTTCGCATTTTTTATTTTAGTGAGGCTTTGAGTTTTTAGATGTGAATCCAACCCAAATTATGCCTATCCAATCCGAATTATGCCTTGCAGAGAAGGTTGTGTTGTTAATACTTTCAAGATTGCCACTTCGCTGATTATGACGGGGATTGAGCTGCCCGGTCAGCTCGCGGGGGTCGAGGGGGCAGCGCCTCTTGGCGGGTCTGGGGCAGCTCCACGGCAGGGTCGAGGGGCAGCGCCCCCGAAGCAAAATGCAAAATTACATTCGAAGTTGCATGTCCGCCCTTGCTCGCTCGGGCGAAGAAGTCCTCGCTTGAGCGAAGGCTGCGTCTGGCAAAAAACCTGAGAATGATGAACGTTTGCTCGAGCGTAGGTTTTGTGGCTCCAGCGGTTTGTCTGTAGTCTGCTCCAAAAATTGTGTCTTATCACTCAAAAGTTGAACCCTTACACAATTTTCTTTCACTTTTCACATCACACTCTCTCTCTATATATATATATTAACTCTCACTCTCTTTTCTTTTATCTCTCTCTAGAAACTCTTTACCCACTTCATTTACTTCTTTGATTTCTCCTTATCCATTGAGATTTCGACCGTAGTGCTTTCTTTTGTTGCTCTTGTTGTAGCAAATTTTTCTTTGATGTTTTGATTGAGTATTCAACTCATGGTTTAAAGAGTATACATCAAAGGATTATTTGTTTGTTCTACACAAAAGAGAGAGTTGTTCTTCAGTGGATTCTGAAGAATTCGAGCCTGAAGCTTTGGTGGATTCTGGAGTGGCTCATCGTCAAGACAATTCCGAGGTGAAGACGGGGTTGGAAGAGACAGATAGGGGTTGGTTCAATTCGGGCGTGGATTCGCTAGGTAATTGAGAGTATACCTGTGTAATTCCTTTATATCTTCTTAGTGGATTGTTTTGTGGCTGTTACCCGTGGTTTTTTTTCACAATTGGAGGTGTCCAATTGTGGGTTTTCCACGTAAAATCATTGTGTCGATTTGTCTTGATTGTTTGATTGGGATTGTTGTTTACTGCTTAAAATTGATGCATAATCACAAATCAACATCTAGGGGGTTTCTAGATTTTTCACTATCTATCTACACTAGATAATTTTGCCTGTTTGAGAAGATTTTATCTTCTTCTTTTTTTTAAATTTTTTTCCCCCAATGGTTTGCAGCTTCAAGATTATGTGGAATATATGGGTTCTGCAGCACATGTGATTCTCGTGCCATCTATACGGGACGCAAATCATGACTTTGTTTTCCCTCAGGTAATTTTATTGCTAAATTAATTTATATAGTATCTCTATTTTCCCAGTTAGTTAACAAAAAATTGAGATCATAAGTGTTAATTTCTAGATTAATGTTGTTTGGCTTTGATTCTGCAGCCTGGTTTTGATATTCAGCAAGCCGATCTCAAACATCAGGTAGGCATGATTCTACTAGACTAGGGGAAGCCCACCTTTGAACTAGTTGCTAGATCCAGATCATTTTTCAGTTTGCAGTCTCACAAGTCACAATTTTAAAGAAATTACATTGTCTTACCAAATAACCAGTCTTACAAATCCAGGGATTTTCAGTGCAAATGAGGTAATCACTAATTGCCTTTATTCTTAAATTATGATTGTTCGTACTTCTAGACATTAATTTCATGTTTGTGTGTGCTCCTCCGAATTCTTCAAAATGCATTGATGAGATGAAATTTTTTTGCATTATATCAATCTCATGCACCACAAAAAAGCTTGAAACCGTACTTTTGGAGTAAAAACACACTAATTAGCAGAATGCCCTAAACTTGAGATGAATACAATTTGGAAGAGCAACATGGAATTAGAAAGAATCTAGTTAAGGTTCTCCCAAGGGAATATGTTTAATCTTATTATTTTAAATTCTAAAACAATGGTTTGAAGCATTTTGAGTTAAAACACATTGTACAAGTCTCTAATTAGTTTTCAATCACATTTTGGGTTTTCAGATCAAGGTAGGTTGCTGCACTGTGGATATTCTCAAACAACTTAGCGGAGAGGAGATCTCACGGAATCCATCTGGGGGATCCAAGCAGCGCATGAATAGACTTGCAAATCATCTACTTAGCCAGCACAGGCATGTTTTTATTATTCTCTTAATGGAAATTTCTGTATTTGATATTAAAGAAGTTTAAACAATTGAAAAGACGGTTACTTTTTGAAAACAGCTTCTATCCTCTATACCCACCAATGGAAGATACTCCCGTGGATTTTTCTCTCGCTCCAGAGGCTCTTCAGATCCCTTGTAATCCAGATATCCTAATCCTATCCTCTGACTTGGCTCATTTCGTGAAGGTAAATGATAGGTCTAGTTATATCAGAGTAATGATGGATATACGAAACATAATAGTTATACAGAATGATGTGTCAAAATGATATTTATTCATTTCAAATCAAAAGACTCATGAAAGTGACTTGTTATTTCAAAACTGCCATTGACAGGCCATTCTAGTGGACTTTTTTGTACATAAATTATGTTTGCAAATCAGTTTTCTTTCTTATCTAGTTTAGAGCAGATTGGATTGTATGAATGAAATTTAACTCTTCATCTCCTATGCGGACAGGTGTTGTCAATTGGGGATAAAAATGACAGAGAAGAGCAAGCGAAATGCATTTGTGTTAATCCGGGAAGACTAGCTAGGGGTGAAGGAGCAGGTTTCTTCGTGGAACTTAACTACGGGGGAAGCCCTGATTCAACTAGTGCTTCAGTTATAAGCATATAGACCTTAAACTACTGCGTGTAGTGATTCAACAAGTGCTTCAAAAAAGTAAACCCCAAACTTATAGAGCTTGCAGTTGCAGATGATATCAGTTTGTTTGGAAGCAAACTAGAGACCTATCATAGTGGACACCAAATTCTAATGGAGGAACTTAGCACCATGAAGACTGTTTAGGGAGTGCTGTCATGTTGTACTAGTTTCAAGGTGACAATGATTTTGCTCTTTACCAACCAAAAAAAGAAGGGAAAAGGAAAAGAAAAGAAAAGTCGTTTTTGGTTGTGTTTTTGTTTTCTTTTATTTTTGCTTTTCATGTTTTAAGAAATACAAGCAATGAAAAGTTTGACAATCATTTTTATTTTGCACGAAAATAATTGTTATTTTTTAAAAGGCAAATGCTAATGAATGTCTTTGTGGCAATTGTCTTGGAAATAGTTAAAAAATGTTTAAATAATAATATTTTGAATTCAGCTAAATAAGAAAAGTGTTTTGATTTCAATAAGCCTCTTATTTCTTGTGTCTCATTAACACTTGTTTAGAATTCTTTTTTCAAAAAATAGGTGTTTATAGAAAATAATAATAATAAATAAATAAATTCCTTTAAAGTAATTTTCAGGAATAGTTTGCCTAACAATTTTTTTTGTTTTTGTTTTTATTTTTTTTCTAAACTAATTATAAATAAAAACATGAAATCATAATCAAATTGGGCAGTTGTAATCTAGGTCATTATTGAGGAAGGGGTAATTTATTTTAATTTAATTGGTGGTTAAATTTGTGGTTGGTTTAGTTGCTCCACCATCCGCCTTCCAATCCAAAAATAGGGAATATGCTGAAGTATATGATTTGTATTACAAAGCTCTTATGAAAAAACATCTCTGTAAAAATTATCCTATCGTTTAAAAAATTTATATTAATTGTGCTCTTAATGAATAGTAAAAATTAAATGATTATATGACCTTAAAAATAAAAAATAATAATGAATAAATTATAAAAGATCATTGGATAGACATTAGACACATAAATATTCCGGATTTATTAGATAATTTCTACTACATAGTGGGTCTACCAATCGAATCCTCTCTGCATATTCCAAAGCTGTCATCCTTCATACACAACCACTAGCCTTTTGTCAATTTTATTTTTTTAATAAATTGAATGCTTTTAACACTGTTATCTTTCTTTTCTTTTTCTTTTCCTTGTTTCTTTTTTTCACAATTAATTAGTGCTGTATCATTATTTATGATGAACATTAATTATTTTGAGTCATTTTATGAAAAAAAAAATTATAATGTGAGAAAACATCTATATTATCTTTCCAAAGAGGAAGAGATAGGAACTTAAACTCTATTATGCCTTCATTTGGCAACTTGGGTTGGGTTGGGTTGGGTTGGGTTGGGGATTATTTTTGTCACTAAAAGATAAAATTTGTTTTTTAATCTAATAAAACAAAACATCACATCCAATCCATAATCATTATATTCTTTCTCTCACAAAAATTAAAAAAATCAAAAAATCCATCTCAAATGAGGTTTTTTAACCTCAGACTAAAATAATCAAGAAGTTAAAAAGTCAAAAAACTAACCCACTACCCAAACAAACCCTTTAAGTGATTATTTGATAGTCTTGGAGTACTATTACATACTATTTATCACTTAAAACTTGTTAAATTGTTTTCCAAAATTCAAACAAAAAGTATTGGGTTTCACTACTTTAACCAATAACAATCAAGTAGAGGCACCAAGTAAATTTGCTCCAAGTCCACCATATAATTTTGAGATTTTTACCAGCTAATCCCAATAATTGAATCTATTACTCATTAGGTCTTAAATTTCTATTTCATACACCAAGAAATCCTATTATAAAAGCGTGAGTAGCGTCTACCTATCAATTCTAGAATTCTCTAGCCCACTATTCTATAAAGCATGAGCAGTGTCTACCTATCATATGAAATTTTTATGCAATTCAAAACATATTTATCATTCACACAATGTAGTAAACGAATTTCTCCACTTCATCGACTTTGCTTTGACTATATTAGCAATGTTCATAAATGGTCGATTCATGATAACAATGGCCACTTTAGCTGTTACCTAGGCATAATTTTCCACAATGTGATTCAATAATACCACATCATCCTTGTTCATTTTGTACCTCTATTCTCCTCTTCTTCAATGTGCAAGCAACCATGTGACTATGTGAGGCAAGCTTCACTACAATTACCATTCATGTGAAATCAAGCAATGAGTAACCATTCATTTAATTTATTTCACATCTAAATCTTATCACAAAGAAGAGGTTAGCAAAGATTAGAGAAAGGGTTAATCTGCACAGAAAGGGTTGTTTATACAAGTAACACTAACCTTGTTCTTGAATGACTTTTGTTGTCACCGTCTACACTCACAATTTTATTGTCTAGAGAGGAGGGAAATTGTAGACCAGATTAGAAAATAACAAAACTATGAATACAAAATGTTATAAAAGAATAACTAAGAAAACAAAAGGTTGATGCCTTTGAAAATTACTAACACAATTAACAAGTATGCAGAATAAGTACCAGACATGTATTTTGCCTCCAGAGTTCGAGCCAACTTTTCTACAGTGATGTAAGTAAAATAACTGTACCAAGAAGGAATTATAGTATCCATCAACAAAATTTCATTTGGAAACTTATATACTTATAGGTACGATATTCCCCTAAAATTTATTTGATAGGTATACTTAACTTATATGCTTCACCAAATCCTAATTTATTTGCTTAGCTTAGATTAATCAAGGTTACCTTAAGTGTTTTACTAATTGTCCCATTAGCTTAATTAACCAAGCTTTAGTCCTAACCAATCATGCTTACTCTTTAATCCTTATTAGCCTAAATAAACTCTAGAGCTCTCTCTCTTTTTCTATATTCTTCTCTTTTGTTTTGTGGGAAATGCTGAGGTGTGTGTATACATCACCAAGGATTAATTAGCTTAGTTAATCAATCTTAGTTATAATTAATCAAGTTTAATCTCTAATTAATCAAGGTTTAACTTAATCTTACTTAGCTTAATTAATCATGATTAAAGTTCACTAATTCTACTTAATTAGCACTAATCCCGATTAGTAAAAACAATATAGTGGCAAAATGACAAGCACATTAGTCTAAAATATTTAAGCTCCTTGATTAGTGAATAGGGAAACTCAAAATTTACTAAATTCAACCTAAAAGTCCTTCCCTAACTCTCAATACAAGACAAAAGGATTTCCATGTTCAAAGCTCTATATTAACATATACTTTCAAACTCATTCTCAAGTAATTATATTCTTTGGTTTGTCTTATCAAGGTGTGTTTCTCACTTTTAATTCTTAAGAAGCCTTAATTCAAGTAGACATATAACATAAGGCAGGGCTTAGGGTATTCAAGGATGAATAATAATATAGTTATATCATGTTACATTCTTTGGGGTGTCGCATTAAGTTTAAAACTTTCCTTCAATTCTAGAATCTTCCTTTCAATCCCATCTTCTCTTTTTTCTGAGTGAAAGCTTTTGCTGCTTGGTTTTCCCTTTTTTCCTGATAGTATTGTTCATATACAATGCACTCTATTATAAATTACAATAGACGGTCACCATTTGAGGTGTAATTGTTCAACACATTTGAAAAACTTGGCTCAAATTCTTAGGCTGTTACATTATTCCCCTGCACATTTTTCATTTAATTGGTGTGTGTGCTTGTGCTTTTCTGTTTGTAATTTAATAGTTATAATGTTATCATGTTATCATTTTAATTCTTATATTTTATTTATTTATTTTTCTATTTAAAAGTCATCACATATGCATCCCTCTTTTCTGAATTATTAGGCTCCAATTTTGGTTGTGGCTTGTAATTGTGCTAATTATCTTGAAAGGGCTCTCAAATGTATTCTAAAGTATGCTTAATATTTGTGAACATTTTCTAGTGCTCCTGATTAATTTGCTCATATTTCAATAAATAAATTTAAGGGTAAATTAAAAATATCTCCTTACAATTTGCCTAATTACATATTAGCCTCTGTTTTTTATTTAATAATTACATCTTTTACTGTTGGTGAATGAGGGCTATTTCACAAGTACTTCCTACAAATTATCCCTTTCTCAACAACCAAATCAAATATAATGAGAAGCCAACACTAATGTTGTTCAACAACTATAAAGAATCAACATTTGAGCACAAAAAAAACATAAAAATGAATTCAATAACAAAAAAATTGAACATTATCACTAACCTGTAAAGTAAAGAGCCTATCTTCAAACTGCATTTCTTTAGTCAAGAAATCAGCTCCGATTGTTGCCTTGTATTGATTGCTAAACTTCTTATTCACATATCTAAAAGCAAGTATTCAAGGCAAACAATACCAAATCCACAGAAATAAAAGTAAAAATATACTAAAACAAACACCGTTAAATTCAACAATTAAACTAATAAACAATCCACGAAGGATACTGATTCATCAAAGAGGTCTTTCCGACCTTGCAATGCACAAAACAAACAAAACATATAATTAGATCGAGCTCCAATTGAAGAAGTGGAAGAAGAACTTGAAGAACTCTCATTGAATCTTTACATCAAAAGATCTAAGGCATATATATACGTCTCAAAACCCTAGAATTGAAGATCGACGGGGAGAGAGGGAGAGGAGAGGAGCAGCAGAGAGGGAGAGAGGCACTGAAGAGAGAGAGAGGGTGAAAGATATACCTGGGATAATGTTCCAATGGTGGATCGACGGAGGTACGACGGTGCGAGAGAGATCGTAGAAGGAGGAGAGGCGTGAGAGCGAGAGACAGAAAGAGAAGCAGAGAAATTGGAGCTTATTTAGCCAAAAACGGTGATGTTTTGCAAACCTACCCTTTTTTGTTTGTTTGCTTTTTTTTTCCTGACTAACAGATTTGGTCGCCAAAGATAGAATTTTAACTTTTTCCCGATTGAAAAATAGTTTCGTCGCCAATTAATTTAGTAACCCTTCAAAAATTCAAAATCCTCCCTCCAAAATT